GTTCCGCTTGACTATATCTTTCGACAGGTTTTTTATAGAACTATTACATACCGAACAAATATACTAAGACCATATTCTAGCTCTCACGAATAATATATAATAGTGGCAAATGTTCTTTCTTGACGTGAATAAATTTATATGTAGGTCTTGCACCAAACTTTTTTCTTCAAATAATCCCAGCTTATAAAAAATTTGTTTGTTCCTATGAGCTGAAGAGAGAAAATTCATTTGAGTTCCTCAAGAAAATTGGTGGAGTAATAGGATGGCTAATAAAGAACAACATCCACAGGGTGAAATGTCAGGATTAAGTCTCAAAAATGCTGAAAGATCCAGTAAGATTTCTTTCGAATTATTGGTTTTATGATCTACTGTTCGTGACTCGAAAATTCTACTTCTCCGAATGACAAGATTTTTGAAATCGTCTGTACAGTTTTTTATTGTAGGAATTAGAATTAGGACTGTTTACATTGCAAACATTGTATGATATATGGAATGTAAATCTTGAAGTCTTCCGAGCCTGTCTAACAATTTTTGAGAATTTTTTGTGCAAAATTCCCTTTGAATTGCAGCCTTTTATGTTTCACAAACTTCCCAGTTCTTTTTGAACGAGTGCAAAAACAACTTATGGTCATCCTTTACGGTTTCCTGTTATTTTTTACCAGCTTGCAAAAAAAATGATGAATAGGATTTCGCTACAGAAAACGTATACACTGGCGTCCTTTTTTCTTCTTAGAAACATTGGGTTCTTGAACGTTGTAAAGTAATGATTGATCGTGGACATTGAGAGATATTTCGTGAAACTTTTGACCAATACGCTGTGACAACCGACATACCGAAGAAATTATTGTGGAGATTGGATGAGCGTAAATCAAATGTCTCGTGATTATTTGCTGCCCTGAGTCTTACTCGTTTTTTAAATGTTGGATTGAAACTCCTTCTTTTTCGGTTTTCCTCAGACAATTTACGGCAACTTCAGAGGGCTGTGTGGGAACTTTGTGCAAGTTACCTCGGAAAGCTCCCGTAAAGCCCTCGGGAACTCTCTCAAAAACGGAAACTTTCCGAGGACTTCAATTACAGATCTTCCCGAGAGCTTTAAATGGACCTTTGCGTAGCTATACAGTATAGTTAGAACCGAATATCTTCCTTTGTGTTCCAATGATTTATTCGAACTAGAGAACTCGAGTATTCAGGAAAGTGCATTTATTTGATTATCGAAGTTTCTTCGAATGAGTTGTTTTCTCGATTCGTCGAATAAACAAATATTCGAACAAAAGTCTCTTTCATTCATTCGACTACTCGACCCTAACTGATGCTTTTAACGTTAAAGTCCTCAGGAAATTCCCGTTTTCACGGCTCCATTCATCTACGTACTAAATGAAACCCTCATGAACAGATTCGCTTGCCCCTCGGGAAGTCCCCGTGATTCATCTGAGTCTTCGTTTTTTTCTTTTTTCGAGTATTTTACAGCCATTTCTCGACTGCAATGTGTGCAGAACGCTGTGAAACCTGTCATATGCTATTGACGATGCTGTATGAGTGAGAAACTTTTGAATGCAAGAGAGAAATTCTGTCATTCTCAGCGAGCAGCAGCGTCAAACAAAATGTTCCACTCGTTGTCACTTTTTCAGCGCGTATTCGACTTGACTCACATACGATCTTTCATATTTGATTGCACTTTTACTTTTCAGACCCTGGAAGTTGAAGAAAAATGGGAGAAGTGCGTTGGGGTAAATGAATTTTTTGCGCCTTATTATCGAAAATCCTGTCGATAGACAAATACTGGGCTTTTTCACCCGTTTGATTGACACAGTTAATGCAAATTTGCGCGTAAACTTCCGTGTATCTGCTCAGTTTTTTTTACAGCTGCGCACATTGTGGCCAACACAATCAAGCTCAAGTAATTCTTCAAAAGTCTTTGTTACCATTTGTTATGATAAATTTTGCTTGACCGCTCATAGCAGTTTTCGGTGAATCTTGCTTCGTGTCCTTCCTACATCCTAATCGAATCCTATATTAAGCCAGTGCCCAAGCAGCGACTCATATGAGGTACATGTGGTCAAGTAATTCAAGTTTGAATTCTTCCCCAGTGACGTATCAAAGACGCTGACGTTTGAAAAGTACGGTATTGGGCAAGAGTTGAAATTTTTGTTTGACAGTGAATAAATGCATTACAATTTGGGCGAATCCTTAGTTCAAATCCTCCAACTCACCATCTTCTCCCCTTCCCTCCCCTAAATTAATTCACACATGATCTCCTTTTCCTAACGAACTTCCTGCTCTCTGCAGATATCACTTCAATAAGTAGTTCCTTACGCATTGAATAATAAACAGGGTGGGCGATCGGAAGCTTTTTGGACTTCACAAACTTAGTGCTCCGTGCCTGATGAGTAGGATACCCGGACACCCCGACATACCCGACATTCTTCCAGAGATTGTTTATGTAGCAGAATCTATTTTTACACCATCAGTAAATTGAGAACTAAGTTTAATTTATAAAGTCTTCCATCTATGGTCAGATATTCTCCAATTGGACGCCTACGCCATTGTCAAAATCTCCACGGCTTGGTTGAGCCGTGAGGATTTTGTCAAAAACCAAAAAAGCTATCAAAGGTCAGAGAAAGGATATGAAATTACAAGCCATGCGCGAATAGGAAACAGAACAAATCACTTTGAATAGACGTATTTTTAATTCCTTTATGGAAAGAGAAATACGTCTATTCGAAGTGATTGAATAGACATATTTTTCTTCTTTTTTTCTTTATGATTGGTATACGAGTCTTGACCGAAAACCACTAAAATTTCTCTAGTGTTCATACCTTAGTATCTCTCTTTTTATTCTTTTCTATTTTTCTTTTTCCCTCTTCTGAAATATTCAATATTGTATTTTATGTGTAATAGATTTTAGAGGACTTTTTAAAATGCCGAAAATCGAAAAATATAACTCTTCGTAGAACACGCGAACAATACAAACTTTCATCGAACAATTGAAACATCATCAAAAAACTGGTGAAGGTTGGCCCTTTGAGCATTTGCTGAGCTCGACACTTGAAAAATACGATTAGTGTTGTTTTTCTTTATCACTATGTAACGCGGTGGTTGCCTACCTGATTTTTTTCATAAACTACAAAAAATTAGGATCTTCCCTCCAAATGCAGAAAATTTCACAAAAATGGAATTCTCTTAAAACTTTCGTGCAAGGCTTATGGATCACTTTAGTAGTCACAGAATTATTATTTACGAGCAAGTTGCCCTACATGCCGCTTGAAGACCGTTTAAAAATTATAAGAACTGCCTTAAACGTACAAAAATCTGTTCCCCTGCCCGATCAAGTTGCCCCACGTGCCGCTTGAAGACCGTTTCCTTGGTATACTTGCTGATGATATCACACGTGATTGAGCTTACTTCTTTTGGTTGGAAATCCAATTTCGTTGATACTTGGCTTTCCCATGTTGCAATCTTTTCTTTTATTCTGCGGTCATGAAGCTCGAAAAGCTTTTTTTAGAGTGTCAGTAGGTCACAATATGTAAAATCTTCGAATGTCAAAAAAGTTTGACGTGTGATAGGTGACTAGATCCAGGGTGTCGGCAAAGCTGACGCCAGGGAACTTTTGAAATAAGGTTTCCTTTGGTTGGAAATCTCGCATGAAGTCTCTTTGACCCTAAACCCTAAACGTAAAAAACCCTCAAAAACGAAATGTCATAAAAAACGTATTCCCTTTGCTTTTGGTCCCAAAAACGATATCTCCAGCTTGACACGGTGCCAGCTGTGCCGGGCTCTGACTAGATCTCGTCACCCACTTTCAAGTTCTCGGAATTTCTCGGTCCAAACTAGTCATTCCAAACCCTGGAGGATGAGAAAACTTCGAATACTGTTTCACCAAACTGAGGCCTGATTGATTATGATCTTATGATCTGATTCAAAACATTGTTATCCGTTTCAATTGTTTCCTGCGTCTATAGGAAAATTTTGAATTTCGGTTTCGAATGTCAAACTCTTGTTGCTTTTGGGTGTTTTATTCCGATAAAACAAAAAATCTCTGTAAAATTGTCAATAGCATAAGGGCGCGCTTACGCGAAAATATAGATATTTTTGTCAGAGCTCGGCACAGATGGCTTATAAGCAAGCTGGATATCGTTTTTGGGACAGAAAGCAATGGGGGTTTTGTGGGTCCGAAATGTTTTTATTCGATTTCGTTTTTTAGTCGATTCGGATAAGGGTCAAAGAGGATTTCTGATGTTTTGCAATGCCAAGGGGACTTTTTTTGCATTTTCGGAAAGATACCTCCCACCGAGCCCTGATATTCCCACTATATTCCATATTTTTATATCTATTTGTAACCTGGTAAACTTCGTACTCTCAACAGTATTTTATACTAAAATAAATTTTTTTCAAGGCAAAGCAGCCTTATTCAGAATGCTGCTTTAGGATCTGAGGCTGTTTTTTGGTTGACTGTCAGCGCCATCAGCGCTCGGACTAGGCTTTTGCACCATTTTTGTGTACCTTTGTCATAAGATCTAGTTTCTACATTTCCAAAAATGCCACAATGAACTTGTCCTGATCTAAGAAATGGCAAACACAACAGCTTTTGTAAATGGACTTTCTGACCACGTGACAAAACCATGGCAAATAGGTGAAAATGTAGTTTTCGATAGACAATTACGTTGTTCACTTGCTTTATAGTAGAAATCATTGAAATGTAAATATTTGAAACACCAGTTGTTCGGTTTTTCTTTTGATTTTTGATGAACGACTCTCTTGTTATGCTCTTCGAGAATGTTTCATCATATGAACTTGTCGAACTTTTTTTCGTTTGATTGTTATTGATGATCCCAAGTGGAATTCTGGCATTTTAGATAAAAAAAATTGCCTAATACATGCCAGCAGCAAAAATGGAACGTAAAAAAGTGGTAAGGACATTACACGGAACCTCTCAAAGTTTTTTCAGGAATTACTCTTACTTGGCTATTCATCACTTCTCCAAAAAAGAACTTGCATTTCAGAGCATGAAACGCTACAAGTCAAAGTTGGATCGACGGCTTGGTCTATGCATTTTTGGTTGTTTCGTCACAATAGCGTCAATATTGTTCATTTACGGACTAATGCACATGAATGTACACGATGAACTCACGACGTACGTGAATCGGACACATCAAATAGCAAAGGTTATTTTTATGTTTACGGTAAAACAAAGTTCCAGGGATGTTTAGGCTCGAAATATTCAGATTCTTTCACAATATACCGGCAGAGAGGTGAAGTTCAAAGTGTGAAAAGAGTGCTAGCATGAGAAGAAATTATTTTCTCTTCAAGTCTCTGTTTCGCTTCATTTTAACTTTTTGACTGTGTGATTTATTTTTAGTAGTGAGTAACACGTATTCTACTCACTTGGTAGACTTACAAGATATGTGTATCGATAACCCAAGTCCGCAAACATTCTTTGTAGAAATCCGTGATGTTTACACTAGAGACAGCGCAAACTTACTGTGTGGATTTTTTTCTTTGTATGGCAGTCATGAGAAGTAGCACGACACTCGAGATACCACGTGGAAAAAAAGTAAACTTCGTTGGTGATGTGGATCGCATAGCCCGGGCTCTGAACAGGGCTTAGCGGAGCAGCTTCGCTTTAGGCTCCGAACATACCTCAGACTTCAGTCGCCACGCAATCTGGCAATTTGGCAATGCCCTCAAATTCAATACTGGCAGCCCCAAATGCGCAGCATGTATAACCTGCATAGGTTCTAAAATGTCCTATCTTCTTTACATTCAGAAACCCCTTACGATGAGTTATCAACAACTGGAGTAGTGCCAGATCGCGTTGCGTCTGAAATCGCGTGAGGTATGCCTAGGGCTCAGGCCTAAGGCATACCTCACGCGATTCGGCCGAATCGCCACTTTCACACGACTTGGCGATTTGCCAGACTTCTATAAATTTATCATGCGTACTTCCCAGATGCATATTTGGGTAGCTTGTGTAAGTTATCGCAAATAGAGCAAGTTCTGATTAAAGGCAGCGTAACGACGAGTTACGAAGAGTCGCTGTTGTGCCAAATCGCGCAGCGACGGAATCGCGCGGGGTATGCCTTAGGCCTTAGGAGTCACACCGCGCATGACGACCCCTTTGCTGCGCACAACACCTCGAAGAAAAATTTTTCATTCCGGCATATTCTGGGATGTTTTTGTACTGAGAGACAAAAGGAGGGAAAGTTTTTTGGTTTTTTTTTCGCAAAAAGTGAAACACGCGCTGACTCCTGTATTGAATGACGTCGCTTTGCAGCAGCGTTTCGCGTAAAATTTGAGTGAGGGAGAGAGCAAATTAACTCCTGACCATATTTATTATAGTTGGCTGCACTGAATCGCCCAGACTGAACGCCCGCGAGCGTGTATCTTGCGGGCTAACATTGGCATTCGCGTGCATGAGTGATTAAAGCCCGTACTCGGTAGCCGCGTTGCAAGCACGCTCGCTTGCGTTCAGCCCACAGCGATACGGGCGATGTCGTGCAGTCGACTTTACCATTCGGTGGCACAAGACAATTACGGAGACAGCTTCTTTTTAACATTACAATGAATTACAAATTACTCAGGTGCTTAGACGCGTGCGACGTAATCTGCAGCGAAGAGTGAATTTGAGAGAATAAAAGAAGAAAACCGAGAAAAAGGCAGCGAAACTGAAATGGCGTTTCCAAAGCTGTGACAAAGCGTCACGGCAAAGGTGCTAGATTTGCAGGCAGGTTTTCGCTGCGGGAGCTCGCTGTTCTCCGCAATTTCACCTTTTTTCAGCAGGCATAACGATCCTCTATACGTAGATTCTTTTTCTTCTCATCCGCTTTCCTCCCATTAAATACCAGCCAATGGCGTACCGAGGGGGGGGGGTATAAAAATAAGCAAGTGACTTATTTATACTTGCAAATAATCATAATATTTTGAATTTTTGAAAACTCAATCCAGCTCTACAAAAAAATTTTGCGGGCTTGGCTGGCGCTTTTGGGTCAGAGGCCCGCAAAAATTTTGGGAAGCATTTCAGTTTTTTCGGAGCGCTTGGCTAACCACGCCACGCACCTTCATCAAAAAAAATCCCCCCCCCCTCCCTCCTCCCTCCTCCCTCCCCCCCCCCCAAAGTATCAAGGTGATTTTGTTTGCTCAGTCGTCCCAAGGCTTTGCGACGTCTGAAAGTGCGCGTTGGCGGTAGCAGATGCAAAACAATTAGCACTATCTGGCAGAGCCCTAAATCTAAACTATGGTATTTCTTGGGAACTGGTGATTAACACGTTTCGGACCGCGAAATCGCGCGCGGCGAAAAAGAGAGTACTTTCAGCCGTTAGCCAACAAAAGGACCTTAATTTGTACACTGTGAGCTATATCTGTAATCAGCATGTCAGGTAAGATTCATACCCAAAGTTCTGAGTGAATTCGAAGTGTTTGAATTTTGTCGCCTGAGTAGGACTTCTGTGCTTTCCTGAAAGATAGGAACAAAAACTCAGTTTCTAATTGTATTCAAAAGTATCTTTGTTGTACACGATACACATCATTATTGGAACTACAGTTTTTCTTTTGTATTCAAAGCTAAGAAAAGTTGCGACGTCGCACGCGTCGTTCGCGTTGCCGCACTTCGTTGCAACTGTTGTTCGAATTGTCCTCATATCTTCCAAACAAGTATCGGCGGCACAGCCTTACAGAGTCATTTGAATAGGAGGAGCTTAGGCCTTTGACTTGATAATCTTGGACAAATAGAAAACCTCCCGCAAACACTAAAAAGGTCCTTGAAAGGCGCGTGCTGCACCATGTGCAGCACCGGTCCGAAACGTGTTAAACATCAAACGCAGCTTTTCGGACAAATATGGCGATGAGAGACGTATAGGCTGCACCAACCAGCATCGGTCATGCGGCGACGCACCTGCGGCGACTTGCGAGGGTGCGATGTGACGAGTAGGGCCCCCTATCAATCCAATGCCCAAGTTGCGGCGCAAAATGCCGCTTCGAAAGCGAGAAAATCCCTTCGGAATAGCGAAAATGCACAAGGAGCCCCATCCATGCCCGCCCATTAGTGCGCGCCCATCCAATCACCTCTTCGGAAGGCCGGCCTGTGGGTCCTCCGGAACGGGGATTGTCGGGGTTTTCGCGCATTCTCGACCTCATATTCGGAATCAAGAACATGAGAAGGCCCTGAAACGACAAAAACGTGGAAGTCGAACAACGGTGGACGGTGCCTTTAAAGCTCCTCGCGTTCGGTGGTGCGTCCTCGCAGGGCATACTAGCGCGAGACCGATGCTGGCTGCTGTGGCATATAGATTGCAGCAGTGCCTTTAAAGCGAAAATCTTTCCCAATGTGTTGCATCATTCTTCCAACAAGGAGAGAAATTAGTTTCAGAAGCTCTGACGAGGACGTCCCTTTGTGGGAAGTCTTCCCATGAATGCTCATCCATCGAAAACTCCAAGCTAAAGTATGCCTACTGCACACAGTTGTGACCCTGGGGTTCCGCAAACACTTGTTTCTTCGCCTCGGTGGATTCTCCATCAGGAAGAGCAACAAAAGCGCCATCCTCTGCTGACGACTGGTCCTCTCGCGCATGTTGATGCATATCGTGTGAGGATCAGTGAGTCCGCGCGGGTAACGCATAATGTCATCTGGCAAATGGCCACGTCGCGTCGTAGTTACTCAAATCGCGTCGCGTTAAGTATGTCCGGGGCACTACATAGCAAGCATCTTTACTTATTCACAAGTGCCGTCTGCTCAGAGGGAGCTTGCGCGCGATCTAATGTCCCCTACTTTCAAAATTACTCGAACCGCACCAGCCGTGTTTTAACACGTTTACGACGAGCCAAATTTTTCTGTTTATGAGACGTTTTGTGCACTATTAGTTTGGCTGCATGTATATATATATATTTGTGTCTTGCGTGGACTACGGATGTATAAGTGAGCCGATAACTCCGCTTCTTTGTGGCAAGTCCCGTCCATCGGCAAACAATCTTGGATGTTTGAACTTTGAGAATTCGTTAACTTTGGAAAGTGTGGAAGGCGGAGCCTGCCTGAGGATGTGTAGCAATCTTGACAGGACGGGATCGCGGGTGAGGTAGATTGAGTTTCCGCGGACACCTGCGATTCTTCTGTGCGCTTTGAGGGTTCCTTCATACTACGCCGCAGCACGCGGCGTACGTTCCTGTAGTCGCAGCGAGAATACACTCATGCAGCACACGCTGTTTATCATCGTATTTCTATGTCTGCTACTCTTCGTTTCTCCAAATGTTCACAGCAAACTGTGCTGCCATGGGCATATTTCCACTACGCTGCGTGCTGCGGCGTACGCGGCGCATGCGGCAGGCTCCCGCATCCTGTCGCGTAGTATGAAGGAATCCTGAGCACACAAAGTTTTTTTTCGCAGGGCAACGTAATTAAAGGAGTTTGTCAAGAGCGGCGGATCCAAAATGAAAAGAGCTTGAATTGGTCACATGACCACGAAAGAGAACGGATAGGCATAGGGTTGAAAATCAAGGCGCCGCACACCATAGCCGCGTCGCCCGCAGGGACAGACTGTGCGGCACTGTCTTTAACCTTTCAATAATTTTCTGCTTCTACTCAAGTCTCAAAAAATTCTACTACTTTTGGAGAGTTATGTGACAGCTAACTGGGCTGGCATGTATCTGCTTTTTAAATATATTGAAGAATTCTGTTAGTCTAACGTTTGTTTCATACGACTGCTACATTTTATCAGTGCGTGAACAAAAGCCCCTTGTGTCTAATTCTTCGCGATGACCTCTAAGGCTAACGCCTTCAAAAACTAATTTCATGGAACAAGAAGCTTTTTTTTCTACAAAGAAGTTCTTTCAGTCAAGGCTCGGAGATAAACATAAATTTCGGATCCCCATCGCAAATATTGTAATCAAAGTAAGTTGCTGGTAAATAGTACTGCATAGTCGAAAATTTTGGAGAACTGGGTTAATCTGCACGAATTTGATAGGAGTTTGTAGTATTGAAATTTACGGCAAAAAATATACGTGTCGGATGCGGATCTCCAGAAAGTTTATCTAAGCTGAACGCGGAATCGCTGGCTTAGGCATTGTCTCTAACAAAATTGCGAACTACGTTGTTGGGTACTAAGATAATTCAGGTGATCTCTAGAAACATGATTTTTCTTGAAAACTTTTCCATACTTCAGCAATGAACGACTTCGCCTCACATCTTTGTACTAATCTGTCAGTGATTAGTTTTAGTAAGCATAAAGATATAGCATCAATAGTTGACTAGTCAGTACTTGATAGTTAAATTGTAACTTTCAATAATGTGAAGTTTCTTTGCCAAAATTTGCTGACGGTATTTTTTCTTGCAGGAATTAAGACATGCACTGGACGATAGATACCCGAGAGAAAACCAAACCAATATCGATAAATATGGTCGACAGTGGATGACCGTCGAGGAGTTGGAATATGACGCATCATTGATCAAAGAGGTTTGGAGAAAACTGCCTCATATCAACCTTAACTTTGAAGTGTGTAAGGGAGGATTTTGCTAATTGCAAGCGTTCTGTGATTCATGCGACAGGCGAGCGAACTTATGGAAACTCCTAGGTAGTAAAGCGGTAGTAGCTGAGGATATCTTATCAACTTGTGATTTATTGCCAACATCTTTTACATTAGTGCAACACCAAACACTCAAAAGTTCCAGCAAAACTGGAAATCTTATTGGATGTCTTACTGCTCATGCAACTAGCCAAGCTAGCTACTGACCACTTGCAAGGTGCAAATCAACTGATTGAGAAAACACATGAAAACCATCTACCAATTGCACTTCTCTTTCTCGACTTTCAAAAAGCGTTTGATGCAATGGAGTACGAGGCAATTTGGGAAGCTCTTCGTCACTTTGACGGTGATACCGACACCATTTCAACGATACAACCCCTGTACCGAGCAGCGACTGGATTACTTCAATTCGGTCACATCAATGCACCATTTAAGATACAAAGAGGAGTTCGTCAAGACACTTTGTCACCACTCATTTTCATTACATGTTTTCAGTTTACAATTGAATCGATCCAGTAGACAGATAAAAAGGTTATGATATCAGTGGGGGGCAACTTCGTTACCTGACCTTTGTAGACAACAGATTATGGATACCGTCGCCTCCCCGGCGACAATATCTATAAGCTGTTCGATTTTATTTCTATTAGAGCGACCATAACGTTTGATTTCACCAATTCTGCACGCATTCTTTGCTCCAATATACTCATAATTTGGGATCCCCAGGCGCTCAACAGATATTGAAAACATAATGGTAATCATTATGCAAAGCCCTTTATATTGATATAAATTTCATTTGAAGGCCTCCCTGACTAAAAATGCTCTCTTGAAGGAATAACAATGTTAGGTATACGCTTCCACAAATTTCACATTTTGACTCTACATTTATTTATTTATTTAAATGCACTTAGAGGTGCGCCAAAAAGAGCAGAAAACATAGCAGATAACCAATCGACCACACACCTAGTACAGTAGCAGGGGAAAGGCCAGACGCGTATGTATGTATGTATGTATGTATAAAGCAATTTCCCTCAGACATGGAGTACATGTGGTCCAGGAACGTCAAGTTCTCCAAGAAAACTCTCAAGTCAATTTCAGTACGACGAACCTTGCGGTGTGTGGTCGGCCAGAAAGTCGGGGTTAGTGACAGGAACAAAAGAAAAAACTAAAACGTAAATAATGATACATCAAATGTCAAATAATGATATATCAAATGTTAGTACCACTACATTTTACAAACAAACGAAAAACTATGTGGAATTATGTGTCGTGTTGGAGGACGACAGAAAAAAGGGACGCGACATTCCTGAAAAAACCGGGAAGAGAAAAAAGTTTCAGTAGTTATGAAAACCCTTAACTTGTAATGGATCAACTTGCGCTATTCTACGTTTGAAAGCAGCTGATTTAACAGATGATAATGTCGAAGGTGGAAGCCTGCTAAACCATCTAGGTGTTCTGTAAAAAAGAGTATCAAATGTTCGTAGAAAGCGTTTCCTATAAATACGTGGGTAATGAATGTTAAACCCACCCGTCCTACTACCAGGTCTGAAAATCCAATACTTACTTGCGCTAAGCCTGATTTCCTTACGAAGGAGGCGAAAAGCGAAAATAAGATCTAGACAAGTTCGTCTAAATTCCAGACTGATCATTGCCAAGGACTTGAGGCGTTCTTCATATTTAGGCATTTCATCAAAAGCTAATCTTTTGCGACATCTCAGAAACAAAATGCGAGTAAATGTTTGTTGAACTATTTCTAACCTTAAAATGTCTTTTTTGAAAAAGGATTCCATATCTGTTTGTATATGTTTGTTGGAAGGTCCGCGATTTCTTTTAGACAAACTCTACGATATGGAACCTGTTTTGGTGGAATCTCATTCTTGCACTTTTGCTTATACCTATCCTTATTTTGGTTCACTGTGATGCTGTGGAGGGAAATCTTGCTAAATTAGTATACAGGGTTAGTTTTGAACATCCACCCTAGCAGTAGCTCAATCTACTACGGAGATTTCAGGGTATACTTATTGGCTGCCTAATATTCTGCATTGCTCAATTTCTATATCTAATTCATCCTTTGCTATGGGGAGCCGCCAAGTTCCCAGGCGTAAGTTTACTCTTCCTTGCCAGTCGTGGGCTCAAAATTGCTTTGAAAATTTCAGATGGTAGATAGGCTGTTCTTGCAAGCTTACCCTCGGGATGAATATCAGATCAACGCAATAAAGGAACGATTTGCCTGTGAGTTCCAACCACATGATGTGCTCGTGCAATTTGATTTACAGGTAATTTCAAAGAATCTTTGTTTTTCATCTTATTTTTCAATAAAACATAATATTACAGCAACCGTGCATACCAAAGATGAAGAATTCACTATTTCCAACTTATACTGTGCTTTTGTTGATGTTTATCGATGTACTGCCATTTCTCTATGCCATTTTCACCTACGCTTGGGATGCTTGCATCAAGAATAGCAAACTTTTCCGAAACGCTCGGAAAAGGGTAGAGCTCAACAATTCTAGAAGGTATGTTTTGTTTTAACTTGGAGATTTATTTTTTACCTTCTATCTTCAGAGTTCCGTTCCCAAAGCAGAACCAGTATGAGCCACCACCAAAGATCACAGCAAAGTTAGTTGACGTGTAATTTGTGTCAAAGATTCGAATGTTATGTAGATGTGAGACTTTTGGTAGTGATAAAGAAGCGTATGCTGAACGAATAAAGTCTTCAAAAAATCCTGCACACTGGACTTTTACTTGTTTTTTGGAAGCGAGGAATTTGAAGGAACTCTCCTTCAAGAAGCGTGGCCTTGAGATTGGAGAATGTTTTTGTAAAATTGTTTAAAAGCAACAAATTAATGGCATAAAATGTAATGTATGTTTGCACCATATCCTATCTGTGCGTCCGCCACTGCGATGTTGTCTTCTCACAATCACTGTCTTTATTCTTGGATTCGAAGGAACAGGCGTGAAAAGGGGTTTTCAGTGCTATCGGGTCTCTTTAACATCTGTCTATCACCCCGATGTCTTCATCTTTTTTCTGAAGTGACTTGATGGAACAGTGGCTGAAGACTCGCGATAATCTTGTGCATGTCTTTATATCGTTAACAAAGCTTCTTTCAGAGGTAACACTACAACAGTAACTGTGAACGATTTGCCTGGCGATTTGGTGTGATTTCCCTCTCGGACCTCTCCTACCACGACAACTTTCACGTACTAACGAGCTCAGGTTTCTTGCCTGCTTTGTATTTCTTCTATATTGTGTATAGAGATGCATAAACTTTTTACAATATGTGATAATTGTCCACATTTGAACCGTAACAGTTTGTAAGTAGCACTTTATTGTTCTTTTAATTCTCACAAGTTTTGTATATTGTTATGCACATATGTAAATGTTCTAAAAAGTTTCACCGTCTAGCTGAGGCTAAATAACAGAATCTTCTTTTTTTTGTATAAAAATACGAAAAGCTAGCAGTATGCAGCTGACGTGGAAATCTAACAGGTACTAACGAAAGCGTTCTGAGTCTATCGATTACGAATTTTCCAAAACACAATAAAACTCTGAGCACGTCGACATATTACAAGAATTTGCTTTCAACACAAGCAAATATTGGGAAAAGATTAAAAAAATGTTTTAATACGTAGCCTATAACACTGGCGCTCCTACAGCTTGGCTAATTCGTTTGAATGAAGACGACTGGGCCGATGGCGATGCGAGACGATAACCGCGGCCACGCTCCTGCTCTTCGATCAACTGAAATGTTAATTTGTCGGTAAGTAAGTGAAAGTGCTCCCATTGCGTTAACATATCATAATGATGAAATAGAACTAATTCATGTTTTGAAACTGTACTTTAATTTTTGATTGAAAAAATAACTAAAGACTTTTGCAGATGCTCATATGTTTGTTAGAAGCTACATTAATTGAGGTCCAATTTAGTGCAAAAAGTTGCAGCCCTTATGAAGAACAAAAATAATTTGGATTAAATGGGCTTGACATTACCTTCTTTGTTTCAGATGTCAGATATGCTGGTGTTTTATTTCGATAGTTTGGCAGCCTGCAAAGTACACATCTTGAGGCATTGCTATCTTCATTCTATTTTTTGACGTAAGCTTAGAATTAGTGCATACAGCAGCCTGGAGGTTATTTGGAAGAGAAAGCAGAGTCTGTAAGCGTTGAAGGCGATGTGTGTTTGATATCGCTGATGTTGGCTTTCTTCACAACTAATGCAATAATTTGAACTCAATTGAGTCCAAATCATTGCAATATCTCAGTTAATTTAACCTCAAATGTGCTGTTTATTTTGCCACTGGTAGGATGACAGTCTCGTGCAAAATGGGACTTAGTCGAAAATGCTTGATACTATTTCTTGAGTTAATGTCATGCAACTTCCGAAGGAACACGTTGAGAAGAATTTGATCTTTTTGAATAGCACTATTAATGCAAAAAAGTTGAAATTTGCAGTAGGTTTTCACTTTTCTCTTTTAATAGCCATTTGAGCTCATTGTCAGTTACAGTCAAAAAACGCTGTAAGAAAAACATCTAAAAATTGCGAGACGTTCTTCATGAATCCTCAATCAATCAAGTGCTCCTTGTTTACTGAGACTACTCAATCAAAAGTTTGAAGTATCGCGGTGATCAATGTATAGTGAAATTTCACTGTGATAGAAAAGGAAGCAGTGGAGAGTTTGACTCCTATCGTCCAGTCTATCTGATAAGTCTTGTGCGGATCTTCAGAAAGGAAATATTGTGGTTTGTGATATTAGCGTAGAGAGCATGCACTCTGAACGTTTTGGAGAATAGTTTGAGGAAAAAAGAGCTCAAGCACATTTTCGGAATTGAAACAACTCCCAAAAGTTCTTATGGCGGTCCTGTTCAGTCCTTGCTCGTTCTTGTGTGTAACATTGAATAGCGGGGAATAATTGTAAAAATAAATGGAAAATTAGATTGAGCATGGCTTTATTGGGTCGGAGCTAAAGTTCTTGTGCAGCCTGAACAGATTTGTGTAAAGTCAAAAATTTTGAACTTACAAGGGAGGCGTTTTCAACCGGTGTGGCCTTTTTGAATGAGTTTCATAACATCTTGGAGAGCATTGCATGCTGGCTTCAATGTCCTCATCATCCGCCACGCGCCTCTGAGCCGAGTTATGACCGTTTTTTGGAACGAAAATTGAATGCAGAGTTTAGGTAAAATCAATTGTTTTCTAGGGCTCGGATAGAGCAGTGTTGAGTATTAGCATATTAGACAGAATATAGTATTGCATGAGCTGCTCTATTACTTTATTCCGGACCATTTGAGCAAATTTGGGCAATTTTGTTCCAGTTTTGCGTTCATTTTTTTTGACCCGAAAAATGCCCATAACTCGGCATCCAGAAAGTCTTGGCAGGTAATGAAGGCAGATTTGGAATCACTGTGCAATATTCTTCAAAGCAGTATGGGTCCCATCCAAAAGGCCACTTCGACTAAATGCGCCTTCCTTGTTTGTTTATGATATTGTTTTCGAAAAATAGAAGAAAACTTGCGCCTTACCGTAGTTACCATAAGCGGCCATTGGTAACCTTAGAGAAGCAAAATTTCGAAACGGCACTTTAATTTGTTGGTATCACGTGTTCAAAATGTTAGAGCGCTACCATAGCTCCCAAAAATCTTCGAAGTTATGTTTACATAACGGTAATCGATATAACCTTGTAATAAGCTTTGATATCGTGTGAGAATGCAGAAAGTTTGCGAAATTGGCATTTTGCAGAAAATGAGTCCTCTTATTGCTCATTTTTCGGCAAAGTCACAGCTCAACGCCCTCAAAAAGTTAGCGGCGCCAGATTTTTTTGGAATCGGATACAACCACCTCTAAAGTCCGCTTTTGAGGCTTCGTCCTCCGTGATTAGCAAACGAAATGTTGAATTAGTGTGTAAAGCACACGTGTGAGTTTCTTTAGTGATATCAATTTTTATTTGGATTATACAAGGATCGTTCCACCTAATATGGCTCTAAAGGACAGAATATGGTATAGACGTTGATTCGAACCAATAACACATGAATGGAGTTAAAAGCTGGATGACATGGTGGCATACAGTATACAGAGTTTTATTTCAAAGGTAGAAGCCTAAAGCAGAAAATTGCCGGGTGTTTCAAAAATTCAAAATTGTGTTTCAAACATACAGGGAATCAAAAATGTGCTCCAAACAAAGGTCTTGTTTATGGTCAAAACAGAATGACTTGAAGCCAAATTTGGTGTACAAATGCGCGTAAGGAGCTCAAACTACGGCTCATAAAAAATCATGAGAGCTTTCGTGAATGAAACTTTTTTTCCAAATCAGCTGGAAACGTTTCAGCTGGGCAGCAGCTGAGCACTTGACCCTTTACTCTGTAATCTTTCATACTTTTTACATAAGTTACATGACCACTCTAGGGACTTTTTATACAAGCCAGAAACGGTTACATAATCTTCAATCTTGCCTTCTTTAAAGTGTCCAAAAAATCTCCGTTGGGGCACAATCTACGCCGTTGGCAAATTTCACTGCAATAAATCTTGAAAGGACTTCAGGTTTTCACCCTTGTACCATCTATTCTAGATGGGGGGGGGGAAGGGGAGAGGAGGAGGCGACGCGACAGCCTAGACAAAAAGACAAATGAGAAGAAGTCATGGGGCGGGCTGGAAAAGTGTCAAAGGGAAGTAAAATTCAAAATCAAAGGAAGTTTGCTTCAGAATATTCCTGGATCCAGCGATGCCGATATAATCAGGTACCACTCAAAAACACTGGTTTTATGACCTTCCCAATTTGAAAGAAATTTCAGTGTAATCTGAAACGGTTCGACTACTACGCAATGCTAATCATATATTTTTCTTATTTGATTTACACGACGGTCATCAAGGAAAGTTTTGACAAAAGCAGAAAGATGGAAAGGTAATGGAGAAGATTTTCGACAGCTGTTGCCTCTTCTTGTGTCATTTACGTTTGGTCACGTTTCTAAGATGGATAAATTTGACGCAAACCAAACATCGAATTGTAACATTGTGACCATTGTGACTTCTATTTCTTCAAACATGACTTGAATTTTAAGCTTCATCTCATCTCAGAGACTTAACTAGCAATTTGCTCATCTGAAGTACTTAAAACGTCAAATAAAGAGTGAGTAAAAATATGCAGTTTTAACTTCATCAGTAATGTTAATCAGAATGCTTTAAAGCGCTCAATGTTGCTGTTAATTTCATTCGGAAGATGTTAGGGACCCCGCTTACATGCGAGTAAGATGTCGTTAGAAGAATTTCGCATGAGTGTTTTAGCATTCATGAACGCTACACACTTGGTGCAAGCTCATAAACTGAGAGGAACCCAAGCACAACAAATTGCTCACTGTGTAGGTCGTCCTGTTTGCTGGGTATATTCTTCAGCTGCTGCTTCGACAGAATAGATGTTCATGGGAGAGTTGTACTTAAATGGCAAGACATTCGTATCATACAATGTTGGCTAACTTACCTGGAGATGTTGCACAGACGCATAAGGAGAAAGTTCATTTCGTGTTCGTGGTGATGGTGAATGGTACAACAACTTGGTTCCTCCTTAAAATAAACTATATAGGTTGTAGGCGTTAAACATTCCAATCCAACCAGGAGATAGACCACCAGGATGTAGGGATGGTGAGTGAGATGTTTGAATGTACGTAGCTTGATTGAGTGGTACTCCACCAGAACTCGGTTTGTAGGCAGTGGTAGTGAATCCGTTGTTAAAACTAATTATTTACGATTTCAATTCAAGGCATACATATACCACTTTCATTGAACAGATTTCACCTGTAGTTTTGAGCTGCTTCTGACTGGCGCGGGCCATTTTGTGGGGAATGATGTCGTTGCGATCCAAAGTTTGTGTTGTACGTAGGGTTCACATGTGAGTATGTGTGCGATCTTCCTCTTATAAATGGCTCTGGTCCGTCGATAGCGGTGGAGTAAGATGGACCATTACCCTGCCGAGAAAAATCCTTATGCTCAAAAAGTACGCAAAAATCCTTACAAACGGTTAGTGCGAGAAATTGAGAGGAAATGAAGAATGAAAGGGATTCTAGTATGAAAGAGACTAGTACAACTGATCTATCGATGACTTGCAAAACATGATTTCTGACTAACTCACATATGAGTTTGAGCTTTGAGCTGTGTTGAAGTTGGATTGCTGATGACGAGAGTACGTAGAAGGACTGTGGTACATTCGCGGCTGACTGTTTGTAGCAACGTAACTGCCGTAGTGCGGTGCACGATTAGAGCTGAATAAGTTTTACTTGAAAGGAAACTTGTCATTATACTGGATTGTTGTTACCAAATACCCGTAAAATACCATAACACAAGGCGATGCTTGATTTGCGAGCACTGTGTTGGAGATGAGGGGAAAAGAACGGAATGGACTAAGTCACCTGCTGATTACAGCATGGACTCTCTGAAAGCGGGGGAGCGACCATCATTTATAAAACACGCCTTGCCAGCAGTTTCATTTCTCATGAACCGATGTGTACCTGACCCGAATCAGACATATGGAGTCAATTACAAAAAGGCACTTTTAGCAGATCTAAAATGTGACTTGTAAGCTGCAGCGTACACCATATAACCCACCTTAAATTGATACCGGAAGTAAATTACATTGCGTGCCTTGATTCACAGTTAATTGTGTACACATTGATTTCCTTTGTATAAACTTTGATTGTGAGCAGCAGTTTTCATTCGTTTTTACCATTATCCTATTACACAACATTGCTCTCACCCTTCGCCGCTGTTGTAAGCCAGTTGGCTTACGAAAAAATACAGAAGCATCGGCACACTTGATCACATGTGCGCACACAGCCTCTTCCGCATTTTCTTACAGCAACTTCGCTGCCCTCACAAAAAAGTCCGAGCTATTCTCTAACAGCTTGAACCCTTACAATTCATCTTGGAACAAACCTTCCCAACGTCCTCATTAGACTAGGCATTTCTTACCTTTGCACTGAGTTGATATTCTGTTGATTTGATTGATAGTGAGACCTTTGGTGCTGTTGACTTGACTGCAGTGAAGACTTTGTTCGTGCTGAAGATCCACGATCAAAGGAAAGACTCTAAAAGAATTTTGGTTGGGTCAACGGCAACGTGATTGTACTGTGTTATTGTAATCATTTGGTATGCTACAGTTTTATCTCACTATTACGTCTCCCATGACTCTAAACCTGATGGAAGGAGCTTTGGTTACTTGAGGACTCGCGTTACAAACGCTTGGTCACTCGAAGAAAACAGCTTGATCTTGTTATTCAAAAAGCCAATTCATCAAACAGTGACTGCTTCACTGTTTGACTGTAATAAATATGGCTGCCGCTCATAACAGGTGGTGCGAAAATAAAGGAGACGTAGAAAGCTCACAGCGGTGCAGTCGTCACAGCTTTTGCTACAAAAAACACCATTTTTCTTCGTTTTCGACAACTACGTCGCCTTGTCCTTTTTGTTCGATATTAGAGTCAACTTCTACGAATTCTATCACACAGTTACCAAATAAATCCATGTGGTGAAATTGGTCGTTTCGTAAATTGTAAATTATAAATTTATAAATTTGTAAATATTTTTGTGTTTAGGCAGAGATGGCCTAGCAGTGTGCACTCTGCATTTCAGGACCCTAGTTCGGTAAGGTTGTTTCTACCTTGCGCGCAACATCGCGAAAGTAACCTTGCTATCCTATTTCAACAACGGATGCCTCCTTTTCCATGAAAATACGTGAAATAGTAGGAAACACGCTTCACTAAAGAGTCGATTCTAACCTAACAAAGCTTAGAGAACAAAGTGGTATTTTGACGAAGATAAAAAAATTGCATGGTTTAGATGTTCTTTTTTAGCTCAAAACAAGAAGTGCTGGAGGGTCTTACTTCGAGAGGACAAAAGTCGTCACTTTTCCAGAAAGGGAAGTAGTAATTGATCCCACAGTGCGTCGTTTTGGTAAACATTATCAATGATTTGAAGTAGCAACAGAGAGCTCAAAATGCAACGCAGAACACAGAGATAATCAACAAATGATTTCTGCACCCAGCTTCGAAGGCATCGTCAAGGTAAAATGACGGTTACCGGAATTCCACAGCGTTGCAACAGACCCTACAACTAATCTATCAGTGAAGTCCGGATTGAAAAAAAGGGTCCGGAATGCCTAAAATCTACTTCGGAAGTCTTCCGGACCCCTCTTCCGTTTTAGACTCGAGTCCACTTACATGTATTTTGCAGCGAATGCGGACTTGAAGATTGAAAAGTCTTTTTTTGTCATTTTAAGCGCTCAAAAGCCCAAGTATGGGCTCAGCATGGCGAGAAGGCTCCAAAAAGGTGGAAAACTGGACAGCGAAATTTTGCCGGGACACTGCCTTTAAGGATGTTGATCAGTGAATATGAGTTAAGATGCATACAAAATGTTTACAAATTATTCTTGAATTAATAGCAAAATCATGCATAAAGGAGTCGGTTTCACTCAACATTTGATCTCACTAGCCCATTCTATGTAGCCTGCAACACTTATCCTGCTTTAAGCTGTATTGTACTATGGGACAAAGCGTTTTAGGTTCAAGATGACACGACGCCGAATTTGAAGTAAAAGTAGTTAAATTTCGGTTATCTCAATGTAAGACAAAAAAAGGTATTCTGAAAAAATTTGCATATGCAGGATTCCAGTTGGTTTGACTATCTCTGATAAATATTGGAACCAAAACATGGAAGATTGCAAACTCGTTTCAGAATCAAGGGCCTCCAACATTACCGAAGAAAATTTCAGTAAAATAGGGTATCAATTTTTAGAGTTCTTGAGAGTTGGCAGGTTTATAGTAATTTTCATCACAAATGCGAACGCGCTTCAAGGATACTTCAAGGATCCTAACGGTGAGTGCCCTTCTCAACAAAGATGTAGGATTGATTGCGCCACTTTTTTGGGATGTATTGATCAACAGAGTCTCTAAGCTACAGAACTCAAACCATCTCATAAATAATTGTTGTGACGGACCTACAAATTCTATATGTACACGAGAAAATTTGTGCCCCAGACTTGTTTTAAGCTGCTCAAAATTGTTTTGGTTAAACACTGTAAATTCCGTCTCATTCTGTGATATGTTGGAAAAGTAGTCAAATTTAGTAGTTTATTGCAAACCAGTCACATAAAACATAGGCAAAATCTTGAAAAAGCTGGTAATCGGACGGCAGTTGTGATTTTGTTTCTTCAAAAACGTAGTGCAAAACCGGTAGTTGTGCTGGATTTTCACGATGTACATAACGGATTCGTAAGCTCGTCACTCCTTCTAGCATCTAACTTCTAGTAGTTAAATCGATCCAAACGAACACCGCCAAATCCTTGACCGTATCCTGGTTGCATTTCGTCGACGACTAATTTGTTGTCCTGTTCGGTCAGTGTCCATGGCAAGCAAGTGTGCGATGTCACGTATCTTGAAAATAAATATGCTTGAACAAAGAAGTGAACAATTATCAATGATATGGTTGAGCTGACTTGATATGTGTTAGGTTGTTCTGATAGTTATGTCCGATTTTTAGTTGCCTTGTTTTAGCACAGCTATTTTCTTCATTTGCAGTTAATACAGTATTATTAAAATTTATCCAAGAATGTTTTTTTATCTCTCCGATGCCTACTACTTCATAATAAAAAAAAACTCTCCAGTAAAGAAATTTCAACCTCCAGCAGCCACGTTGTCAAAATGCTGTCATGCTCGAAAGAAATTTCTACGAAGAGAATTTTTGCAGTGATCATAAAATCTTTTCTGTAACATTTTATGATAGGTAAGGTTGTTATGGCCTAAACCATGTACACTTTCACTCCTATATAGAAAATGTCTTACTTCCCAGATTTGTCTTGAATTGGAGAATCCCCTACTGCATGAGCGACAATAACCTACGTGTATACAAGTGGTGTATTCAATAATGCATATGTTAGATTAAAGCGAGAATAAGAGGGATCATCAGTCAGTTAGCTTTTTCCGCTCACGAATAGCAAGAAAAACCAAAAATCAATAAGTCGGAATACTTGCGCGAGCGGAGGAAGATTTATATTAGGTTGTCCCGAAAGTTTTGTCGGTTTTTTTCATCGCCCACTAAAACTCACAGAACGCTAATCCATGGACGACTCAGAGACCATTTGATTCATATTTTTGTGCTCCTTCTTACAACTATATTTGGTCTCTGATCTACCCTGTCTTTGCGATGTCATCGCCATGGCTTTTTGAGCACATCAGCAGTAACGCCAAAAATTTTCTAATTTTTAAAAATCTTTATACTAATTTTCTCAAAGAGCGCTGGTAACTGTTAAGTAAAGCAAACCTTTGGCTACAACGTATCTATTTTAGATTAAGTAAATCACGTTTATCAGAACCGTAATAATTATTTAATTAAGAAAAACCGGGGCTTTTTGACTATGTTTAGGATGTAAGATTACCGGAAATTCCAAAAAGCAGATTTTTGAAGCAAATCAAACTCGGTTATGTTGCATAAATATTGTTCAATAAAAAACAAGTTTCAATTCGCAAAAACTTTGAGAGTTTTCATGTTTTTGCTGCAGTTGCGTGTTTCATGACTTTATCAAAAATTGAGACTTTCGAAGAAATAATTTTTTTGAGCTAAAAACAGCAGATTAAGAGAATCTAAAAATATGGCCATAAAGTCCGAGAATTGCTTTGTTTGAGCCATACTTGAGCTTCTCCGAAACCATGGAATGAAAATTCAAAGAATTAACTAAACTTTGAGAAGATAAAAATGACGGGTGAAGAATTTTAGCAATTATCAGAAAAAGCATGCAGGATTTTGATACGAGAATGCAACCCTAAGAAAGAGAAGGAAAAGCTGCATCGAATGCATGTTGACGCTAATTCAGGTCTTCATTGTGCGTGGTTTTATAATGGTTTGAAAAAACGGACAAAACTTTCGGGACAACCTAATATATGGCTTTTTTGCTTTGCTTATAGAATTTCTTTGCAGCAAAGACGCCTTAATCTTTGAAAAAAAATCTATGTAGCGTAAGCCACTTTGATGGCAGTCATTAGTATGTCAAAGTAGCGATTTCGAAGGGATTGCAATATTTTCCAGTTTTTTTTGCTTTCTTCACAACTACCGTATTCATGTTTCATGCCATACATTCGCTCAATCCAGCAAAATTTGTAATGTTCAGAGTGTTTATAAGAGCAGATATAATATTTTAGATCGGAATCCGCAAGTCGGCCAGAACTTTTGGAAGAACCTAGTACATTATTTGCTTTGCAATGCTTCGATTTTCGGAATCAGTTCGAACCCGATTACGTGGTCGACATATCGTAGAATTCTCGTCTTAAAGTTTGCCGTCGCAATAATATGCGCATTGAATAAGTAGCATTGTAAACCCAGATAGAGCATAAACAGACCTAAGTAAGCTACGAGGAGAGTACTCCTCAACTTTTTTGTTAACACACTCACTTGTAGCATGATAGACCCACCTTCTCAAATTGAAGTTGACTTCTTGGAATGATGAATCCAGTATACTGTTTGCTTCATTCACACTCATGTTCTGAAAATACAATGAATGAGCACGTATATGAGAAGCAAAGCCTTTGACTATAGAGTCCTTGCTTTATGATCATGGGCGGTATTTATCAATCTTATATATAAAGCTGAATGTCTGTTTGTCTGTCTGTATGTCTGTATGTCTGTATGTCTGTATGTGTGTACGTATGTTCCGAGTAGAAAATTCTATTTCTGAACCGATCCGGACCAAACTTGGCACACATACGCTACGGGCCCCGGCGGGTGTCATAGGCTACTTTTCGTCATCGATCGATATCGATTTTATCGATTTTTATCGATTTTTTTGCTGAGTTCACCTACGGGGCTGGGAGTTGGCACAGGGGGGTAATCGAGCATGGGGATTCCGAATACAATATTGGTTTTCAGGATTATCGATTACTTTTATCGATTTTATCGATTTTTTTGCAAAGTTTGAGCTACGGGGCTGGGAGTTCGCACAGGGGGTAATCGGGCATGGGGATTCCGAATACAATATTGATTTTCAGGATTATCGATTACTTTTATCGATTTTATCGATTTTTTTTGCAAAGTTTGAGCTAGGGGGTTGGGAGTTGGCACAGGGGGGTAATCGAGCATGCTGATCATCCCCAAGGGGGGTGATCAGCATGCTCGACACCCCTGTGCCAAATTCCAGCCCTAGCTCAAATTTTCAAGAAATCGATAAAATCGATAAAAGTAATGGACGATCTTGAAAACTAATATTGTATTCGTAATCTGCATGCTCGATTACCCCCCTGTGCAAACTCCCAGCCCCGCAGGTCAAACTTTACAAAAAAATCGATAAAATCGATAAAAGTAATGGACGATCCTGAAAACTAATATTGTGTTCGTAATCAGCATGCTCGATTACCTCCTGTGCAAAATCCCAGCCTCGCATGTCAAAATTTACAAAAAATCGATAAAATCAATAAAAGTAATCGATAATTCTGAAAACTAATATTGTATTCGGAATCCACATGCTCACTTCCCCCCTGTGCCAACTCCTAGCCCTGTAGGTGAACCCTGCAAAAAAATCGATAAAAATCGGTAAAATCGACATCGATCGATAACGAAAAGTGGGCTGTGACACCCGCCGGGGCCCGAAGTGTATGTGTGCCAAGTTTGGTCCGGATACGGCGGAGCCGGGTAAGCCAGCTAGTATCCTATATGGAAAGAGGAGGTCCCCGGACACGTCACAATCCGTATAGGCGCGGGCACTAGCGCTCGCGGTACACGAAGCCAAGCTGGTAATCGAGTTCCTGTTTGTTTGAGGATATGGTCCGATCTTTAAAGTTTGGTCATGTCGGGCACGGCAGGTGCCCGATCGTCCCCGATTCCGACAGGTTGGGCTCTGCTGACCGTTCCACGCGCCCCAGACTTTCATAATTTATGGGATGACGCTTTCGCTTGTCCGGGCACTCATTATAATGGTTCGGACCGTCGGGAGATTGATAAGTACCGCCCCAGGTCGTGCTAAATGTACAGGTCTGCATCTCCGCTTGCGCAGGACTCTGCACCTCTCCCACGAATACGCTCTCTATTCATATCCAATCTGTTCGCGAAGAGGCGTGGAGTCCAGGCGAGGCGATCGCGCGGGAGCGGAGAGCTGGTGCACCCGGAACTGCAGTCGATAAGCCCTGTATGTACCCCAGGCATCTTTGTGGCCTGCTCATTAGCAGCAACTCGTCTTTCAATAATTCCGTAATAGATTATTGTTGTCGCTGTCATTACAACGTGTAATGACAGCGTCATTACAAGCGATTTGATCGTCGCGATCGATCGCGACAAAATAATTGTAACAATATCATTGCATGCCGATCTTCTTGCATTTCGGTTGAGATAGTTTTCCAACACGACTAATCGTGACTAGCTATTACAACCGAAGTACAAGAAGATCGGCATGCAGTGAACTCGTAACACTTGTTTTGTAGCTATGGATCGCGACGATGAAATCGCGAGAACTCTGCCCAACGCCTTACAATATGCTATCCGCTTTCTATATCTCTTGGAATTCTGCAACTGCACAAAAGGCCAATCCGTGCGATAATCAACTTTTTGTCATCAAATGAAAACCACTCGTCGTTAAAAATGAAAAACATAAGGCTTTGATTTGACATGTTTCGACATGTTTATGCCATTGCAGTGAATACATTTAAACAAAGCAACTTCACTCTTTGAAGGTGTGTGGTGGCCTATCGAGCGTTAGGATCCTGTACCTGCGTATGATGTACCTGCGTTAGCTAAGCAGGTACAAGTGTTCCGATTTGCGCGTCTGTTTTGTAGTGGCGTGGATAACAACTCCTCAGGCAGTAGGATGAAATTCCAAGGGAATGAAATTTGAAATTTGGGAAACGAAACTCAGAGTTTCAATAAACAAAACTTTAAGTTACGAAAACGAAAAGCACAGTTTTCTCTGAGTTAACGAGTAGCTCTAACTTGGAGTTGCGGCCATAATATTAGGTTGTCCGGAAATTAATGTCCGTTTTGAATTTCAACCGCAACAAGTCATACACTTTTGATTCCTGAATAGCTTTCAAGGTACCATTCGATAGAGCAAAGCAAGCTCTACAAGATGGAAGTCTTGCTTTAGCAGCAGCTCTAATCCACCTCGAGTTTCGAGCCAAAAACTAAAAAGATTCAACTGCCCAAAAAATCAAGAAAAATCATAATTCAGTTCGTAAGGACTCTACAAAAATTCTAACTTGTTCACGTAAAAACTATCCACGTAAGACATATATGTACACTATTGCCGTATTTTTTCCTCTGTTAGAAATCGAAAAAACGAAAATTTTTATACTTTTGCAAAAGTGATGCTGAGTCGTCCCCACATAAGTAGAGGTATACTATACATTTGTAGAAGTAAAAACGTAGATTTTCAGCTTTTTATAAGCTTTAGTTCTCGAGAAATTTGAATTTTAGTTTGGACCACCCCTGACTAATGAAAGCTAAATTCGATATTTCTCGAGAACTAAAGCTTGTAGAGAGCTGAAAATTTACGTTTGTACTTCTACAGATTTGTAGTACACATCTACTTATGTGGGGACGACACAGCATCACTCTGACAAAAGCATGAACATTTTCGTTTTTTCGATTTTTAATAGAGGAAAAAATACGGCAATAGCGTACATACATGTCTTATGTGGATAGTGTTTACGTGAGCAAGTTAGAATTCTTGCAGAATTCTTATGAACTGAACTATGATTTTTCTCGATTTTTCAGGTAGTTGAATCTTTTTAGTTCTTTGTTCGAAACTCGAGGTGGATCAGAGCTGTTGTTACAGCAAGAAAGCCATCTTGTAGAGCTTGCTTTGCTCTATCAAATGGTACCTTAAAAGCTATTCAGGAATGAAAAATGTATGACTTATTGCGGTTGAAATTCAAAACGGACGTTAATTTCCGGACAACCTAATACTACCAACCCAGTATCTTCTTTTTTCCATAATAAATTTCTCTATGAAGTTTTTCGCATGCATCTAACAAAGCTTGTTGTCTCGTTGTACAAGGGGAGGTTGGCTAGTCGAAGTGCCTTGCGAGGTAGGTATGTATCGTCCATTCTCACAATATAGAGGCGGAGCTTTGCTAACGTTTGCCAACGTATGCGTGTGAAGTTTCCGATAGCTAGAAAATACAAAAACTAATGCTTCAGATGAGAAGTTCAACAATCTTTTCAACGTGTTTCAATGTCTGCAGGGCCACGGCCGCTATACGCATGGTAATCGCCTACAACATTTGGAGGGACATACGCGATTCCAATTTTTTTGTACTAGGCATCGGAGGAGGAGTCACGAGCGTTTATTAAAGTAAAAAAGTGAATTTTCGAGTAGCTTAAAGTAATCGTAACATTTTTTCTGGCGCTTAGATGGAGCAACGATAATAATCAGAGCACTTTGTGAAATAAATGTCCTTACACGGAAAGGACCCTCAGTCGAAGTGGGGTTCCCACACATATGCATATCATTCTGCTGGTTTTGAGGCACCAATACCAGACGTGTTCCTTAGATGCTCAATGATCTTTTGAGAAAAATCATGAGCAGCTCTCCAGGATGACCAAGGGACACTATAGGTCTGGGGCACCAAGCACTTACATGTGTGTAAGGGTGGGGGATGGATAGCTGCGGAGGTTATGGACTAGAAGAGTTCGCGTCTCCTATGGGTTGGGCCAGACTGCGCGGCGTATGCGACGTACGCAGCGTACGCTGCGTATGCTCCTGTGATGAAATATATCGAGCGTACGCTGCGTACGCCGCGTACGCCGCTTCCCCGCGAAGTCTGGCTCAACCCTATGGAGCCAAATTTTTTGTAATCTTGCAAGTTGTATTTTGTCAATTCGCAGAATTTCCGAGGCAAGGAGACCGTTCTAGTAAGCTGTTCGCAGCAAAAATTGGCTCTAATCAGTATCGTTCCCCAAGAATACAAAGTCGTGGACTTCACCAAAATCTGTTTTGGAAGTTATTCGAATTACAAGACGCGAATATTATACTCCTTTTCCATGGTTACACTTGTTCTAGAGTCTCGGTAGTATATCATAGGATACCATGGGTGAGCAAAGTTGTAGATACGCTGTGACTTGGTTAACACATTGACGACCATGCAGATTTTTATGTCTGCCTTTTGGGACCAAGACCTTTTCACGGACCAGCCCACTTTTTCAGCTATAATCAAGCATACTTCCATCCACAGTGCACCTACAGTAGATCTGAAAGGCTGACAAAAAAGGTGGAAATCATCCTTAGATTCTGTGCAAAAGAAAGCTCATGGAGCGAGTTTATTTCAGGATAGTAGTCATTTTACCAAAATTCAGACCTTGACACACATGGTGTGTCAAGCGGTCCCACGCGGTAGTCATTGCTTGACACACCATGTGTGTCAAACAGTCGTCAATGTGTTGAAGGCAGCGTGCAGGCAAATCTGCACATATGGGGCTACGTAGATAGTAATCTTGGGGCCCTAACTAAGCCACTGCCCAAGCAGCAGCTCAGGTAGCGCACTAACGAATGAGATATTC